CTTGCCATCATCATACTCTACATGCAAGCAAATTGGGTAGGTTTTCAGAAGAAGAATGAAGGAGAGAGAAGAGTCCTGCCAGTGGGAATTTCTCAGCACTGGTTTCCTGTATAACAGTCAGCCTTTTTATAAACAGCACCTCATTCCATGCAATGATACAATTTTAATCTGTCACCATATTTGGCACAACCATAGGAAGAACTACTTGCTTGCTAATTGCCATTTGAGCTCATGCACAGAGCACAGGCTTGGTCAGAGTCACAAGTCAGTCAGTGCCAGCAACAATTCAGTGTCTGTTTCCAATCTCTGAAAGTGTCATATCTGCATCCTTTCATCCCAGGAGATAAAATCCTGGATTCCCTCTCAGTATGAATAATTTGTCTTGTCACTCAGAGCCCTAAAGGAAAACCATGTGACAGCTTCTGTTAGCTGTTCATATGAGAAAAAAGCTTTTAAGAAGTGAAGTAAATATATATCAGGCATGTTTAACCACTATTTAGTAATTTTTTTTAAAAAGCTAGAAAAGCTTCATCAGACTCCAATATGTAGGAGAAACAATTTGTTACCTCATGTCTTGTAAGAAAATTAGAGGAAGGACTGGAGGAAGCCCCGGGCTGTCATTGCAAAGGCAGTAGTCCTGCCAGGAGCTTTCTCAAGCAACCAAAGAGACAACAATGTGGATATGATTCTTGCAAGTTTTACAGTTGCCCAAATAGTTTTGAATGGAGTCAGTGACACTAATCAGTTGTTTATCAGTTTCCCACTGCTGTTTCTCATGAAGTTCTTGATTAGTTACAGAGGTCTGAGGCTGGGCTGTTTGCAGACTCAGGAAGAATGGTGCTAATCCAATCTGTTGAGCTCACACACAAAAAAAACTACCTTTAACTAATATATATTTAACATTTTCCTTACTTGAATCAAAAAGTCTGTAGGAACTAATGATTTAAGTCTTTTAACTCAATAGGTGAGCTTTCCAAATCCCAAAGTTTCTGAATTTATTAGGACTGGATAGTAGTAAAATAGTAGTAGCCTTTGTTACATTTCCATTTCAATCACATTGACATTAGAGACAGCGGAAGTTTAGACAAAGATATGGGACCCATGTCTGTGTTATAAAATAATGTCATAGCAGTTTCACTGAAATTGCATAAAATGGTTTCCATTTTTCAAAATTGTATAAAACTGAAAGTAATTTCCTCCTAGAGAAAAATCTTCTAATCCTCTTCAGAAGGATTAAAATGTAAAAATTTCTAGCAATACAAAGTAGATCTGTAGGTGGATTTTATACCTGTCTTTTTGGACTTGTAGCTAATAAATTATTCATTACCTGTTTCATAGTATTGAGGAAGTCTATATTTTTAAAGGCATTCAGTGCAAAATATTCCCTCAGCAAGTGAAGACTGGAGGTTGACTAATCTCACTTATGTTAACCTCTATAGTTAGGTTATGATTCCTGCATCTGAAGATGTTGACCAAGTAGTCATCTAGTAGAAAGCATCTAAACTGTATAGGGAAAGGAGAAAATAATAATACCTCCTCTTTGATACCTGCCTTTATGCAAAGGGAACTAGTCCAGCCACAATTTATCCATGTGTCTTACTACCATGAGAAGTCCAACTGCAATCAACAGAATGACTCAGAAAGTTAAGCAAGTATATCAAGGCATGCAGGAACAGAATTCAGAAAAGGCGAGTTGGAAATCTGAGGAACACAGCTGGGAAGCTGTACACTGAGTTCCTGAGATAAGGGCCCCTATTTTTAATTACCTAGGTGTAAGAGAATAAAGCTATTATTTTTAGGAAGTACTAAAAACATATGTCTGATGTGCTATGTAATAAAAAACCACAGAGATGTCAGTATTTGCTAATTATTCTTGCACAGTTAGCAGAAAAATCCCACATCAGTAGATCATTACCTAAGCATTGAGCTTCCTCTCATTTTAAGGACAATTAATAAAAGTAAACTGGCTTTGGTAGATGCTGTTATACATATAGTAAATCAAACTTTTGTCAACAGTTATCTGGGTAAATGTGGGCATTTTAACAAACATCGGAAGTATGCAGATTTGCTGCATCATTTTGGTGGACTCCCTTGCAAGTGTGAGGGCAATGCTTATGCGTTGACTGCAAGAAATAAGCTGTTTGGAAGTGTGTGTAACCAGGCCCAAGAAAGCAAATTACTATACAGTTTGTCTCTAAAATCTTTGGAAGATCTTATGAAATTGTGTAAATGAGTTAAGGCAGGTAATAGGCAACTTAAAATTTGCCCAACCTGCATGTTCTGAGTAAATCAGTCCTTATCTAATTGTCCTTGTTTCTAAGCCTAATTGTCCTTGAAAGTATTATAAGGTGTTATATTTTCACATAAATGAACAGCTCAGACAGAATTTGTCAAATGCCTTAGGTGCAGCTTCTATTCTACATCAGATGATTTCTGCAGATGTGCTTTCAAGGCATTGTCTACAGCAATTGTGTAGCTGTCAAAAGGAAACTACCATTCCTGAGCTCTGTTTTCACATCTCTCCTCTCGTATTTCATCATATCGATTCAGTGCAGGTGTGGGTTTGTTTTGAGGGCATTAGAGGTATGTAAAATGACAGCACTTACGCTTGTCCAGAAAACACAAGAACTTGTTGCAATTCCCACAGCAATGGCAACTGTTGGTTGCACAAGCGACTCCATGTATGAACTGTACTTTCCAAATAGAGGTCTGACTCAATAACCATTTAAAAGGGTGAAAGACGCACAATGTGTTATTTTCAGTTAGCACATATACTTCCAATGTAGAGCACAGTGCACCAATACAATATTAAGACTTATAAAAGATGGCTTAGGATCCATTGGATCTCATCAGCCATACTAAGGTAGAAGGGCTAATGCTGGAAATATAGTTGTTTCCAAGTTAGAAAAGACAGTACAGACAATTACTGAAAGCTTATGGTTTTTCTGATTCTCCTAAATGCAATAAAAACTGAGGAATTAACCCATTCAACACAATCTTTATTTTTAGATTTTTCTTCTTTTACTTAATTTTTATATCCTATCCTCCCCTACTGAAGATGCCCGTATGCCATTGCGCTGGCTAGTGCTACACACGTTGTTTGCTTCAGTGAAGCCAATGAGTCCCTCAGCATGACCAAGGGCTGCAGTTATGTGTAGCTGTGCACTACTCCTTGCCTAAAGTTCAGGTTGGATGAGACCTCTGGAGACCACCTGGTCCATCACTCAGGGTTTCCCAGGGAAAGACATTGTCCCAAAGCAACTGGCAAGGTACAAGACATGCCTTTGCTGCGTGCCTTCTGCTGTGCCCAGTGACAGTTCCTTCAGGCCGTGGGAAGCCAGGTCCTATGCAGAAGTACATTGTGTCCAGTCCTATGCAACTGGCACATTGGGGTGTTTTCTCAGCGCATAGATTTTCTCAGCTAATGACTCAGTGGGGAGAGACCATGTTAGTGAAGATTCAGTGTATGGTTTTGCTTTTTTGTGTGTGTTTCTGTGATGAGGCATCACCACCTCAGGACACATGGTATCCTCTCAGGGGCAGAAGCCTGGTGCTGTGTCCCTGTCGTGGTACCCTCCACTGCCAGGCACACGCTCCAGCAGGAAGAGGGACAAACAACCGCCAAGGAGGCTGCTCCCCAGTGGCCACAGGACACGTGGGCTGAAGAGCAAGTCTTGTGCCAGCCCAGGGCTGTAGCCAAACCTGGGCTGCTAGGATGCTGGGGCAAGGGCTGTGACCATGCTCCAGAACCCAGCAGGGGCCACACTTGAGGTCTTGCACCAGAGCTCACGTGTACCACCCAAGGTGCGGTGGCTGGGTACAGGTAGCTGTGCGTGCTCAGCCCTCACCCTGGCACCATCCAGGCAGGGAATGTCACAGCAACTGCTGGCCAGTGGGCAAGACTGATTCTGCTTCAGGTGATGGAGCACATTACTTTTGAAAAAACAAATGTCACACCATTTTGCCTGCGTCACAAGAGCCATGTTGGCCCATGACACTACCTGCTATCCCACAACAGAGCAGTTTCTCTGGGAACCATGGGTTAAAGCAAATTTCTGCAACTTAAAAATTAAGTTCAGCTTTTTAGCAGTCACATAGGCTGATGGATGAGCACCTGAATACCTATCCTTTGCTGCTGTCCCTGTCACAGTACAGCTGCCCCTACCCAGAGGCTTTCCATGCAGGTAGAGGATTTTAATTTCTCTTAGTGTTAAAAGGATCAGTGCTTTTTTGTTTTTGAGATGTCATGTGGTGATTCCTCAAGTAAACCAGATCAGAAGGTGACAGCAATGTTGACGGCTTATTTTTCTGTGCAGAACAATGTTATTACTTGTGTTTTTAAGGAGCATAAACCTTATGCATAAAGCATATTTCAGTTAAAGGGGTACTGCCAACTGATAAAAAAGAACCCCAACCTTGCTATTACCTATGTATGTTACAAGCACTTAGATTACCAAAAATTATTTCCAAGAGTTGTTTCCTCTGTTTTTCTCTGGTTTGTTTGCCTACACCATTTGATAGTAATCCAGTGTTTCGTTTGAATATCCAGGTTATTATAATTGTGTGAGCCTTTCATATTACAAAGAAGAAATCAATCTCACCAGGAAAATGTGATTGTACTGGCACAAAAACTTGCCAGGAATTCAGGATTTAGCTTTTTTTTTTTTAAGCAAGGTGCACAACTGATGTTGTATCCTAGGTTTTTATATTAAATACCTAATCACAGCACATAATTCTGTGACTTGTTTTTAAGTAACCTAGCTTTGAAGCTCAGGATGAAAAAGTGTGTTTCTTTAATGATAACTGTAGGTTCTCATCAAAACAAAAGTTTGGTCTCATTATCCCATTGTTCTCCTTTTCTTTTTTCTCCAAGCTGCCTGTCTCGTCCTGGGTTGTATGATTTTTCCTGATGGCTGGGATTCAGATGAGGTAAAACGGATGTGTGGTGAAAAGACAGACAAGTACACGCTGGGGGCTTGTTCAGTCCGCTGGGCATATATCCTGGCAATTATTGGAATCTTGGATGCCCTGATCCTCTCATTTCTGGCATTTGTGCTTGGCAACAGACAAGACAGCTTGCTAGCAGAGGAGCTCAAGTTGGAAAACAAAGGTAGGACTGCTTTAGAAACACTATTATTGGGTGGCCTTGAGGGCAATTGCTTAAAACCAATGATCAGTTTAATTTTATCTTATTCTTAAAAGTTGGCATGCTGGCTTGCTTCCTAAATTGCTGGGAAAGAAGAAATGCAAGGGGCAGAGGAAGTTTTGTTTTTCAGCCTCCAAAATCTAAGAAAGATCGAAATTGCCATAATTACCACACTATGCATGATTTACCCTTAACAGTTTTTAGAGGTGGTTGAGATGTTTCTGTGTTACCCACTTGCACATTATTTCATTAGCATTTAATTTCACTATCTCCATCTTTTTCTGTATCTCATGCAAGATTTGTACATTTGGTTCCTTTAGGATTTTGCACTGTAATGCAAATAGCTGTAATATGGCATATGTGTTAGCACAGTACACAGTAAGGGGGAAGTATTGACTTGGGAGGTTGGCAATGAGCTATGTAATGAGCCCGCCTATACAGCGAGGCACCAGTGGACTGAGGATCAGAGCCAGGAATGAAGAATAATCCTAGTTCTTGTTTGATTGTGTTGCTTTGAGCTCATTAGTCAGCTCACAGGTATCTAGGAGGCTGTAGTAACTGAATATTCATGCAGTGGGTTGGGGATAAAACATATTTCTAGATTAAGAACCTGAAACTGGCTCAGGCCAGTAGTTTGTCATGCAGTTGTGAGAGGAGAGATGCTGTTCAGTGAGTGTGTGCAAGCCCGGCTGATTTCTGCAGCCCCTTCCCGTTGTGCTCTCCCAGTAGCCACAGCTGTGTAGCTGATGTGATAGATAACCACAGAGGGCATGTCCCTGCCTTGTCTCTTTAATAGGCCTGTTGTCCCTGGATCTGTCTAATCCCTTCTGAACCTGATGATAGTCTGCTTCTACAGCACCAACTGGCAGCAAGTTCCTGAAGCTCACTACTGACTGCTAAAGAAGTACTTTCTTTTATCTGTTTCAAATCGATCCCCTACTAGTTTCACCGAGTGTCCCCTAGTGCAGGATTCTGCATTCAGATCATCTACCACCTTTGTAGTTTTGTAGGTTGCTTCTAATAATAGCAAAGATATTAGGAGTCCTTCACCACTGAATTGGAAATCAAAAGCTGCTTGGCAGCCTGTGTTGTACAAAAATAGCTGGCCTCAGTCCTACTCCAGAAGGACCATTATCTATATCTGAAAGCACCAGCACACTGGCCCCAGCTTGCTGAATTGCAGACAGTCAGCACACTCAGCCCAAAGATAAATGGACTCGAAGATTGAACTTCACATACGATTCCAGACGTGGTTATATCCTACTAATGTGGTGGGTTAAGGAAAGTGTATGTTGCTTGCAATTGCATGTGTACATCTGCTCTGCAGGTAAAATGAGGGCATCAGTTTCAGGGACTGTCTCTGTGGCCCTTTTCTGTAAGGATAATATTCATCTGCATTTGAAAATTAAAATACTTCTCAGAAGGGCATTCACAGCTATGCCACAAGTGCTTTTGGCATCAGCACTGTGTCTGATTTGTCTATACCATACAGAGCTCATGAACCAAACAACTATTTGTATCAAAGAACCTCATCTGTTTTGGCACCTTATGAGCAAGAAACAGCTTCTGGAGACTCATCACCTCTCACATCGCTGGCAGAAGCTCCTGCCAGAACATTTGGTCCTCAGCATGTCGGACAAAATCATTCAGCAGCTCATTTTCCTTGGATTAAGCACAGAAATGTACCACACCACCAGCCTCAAGGCAAACCAGAACTCCACAAAAAGGTATCCAACCCACTTTGTCCTTCACAGTCGAGCCTAATGTTCACGACTTTTGAAACTGAATTTCAAATGAAAAGGAGGGAGCCTGTCTTCTGAAAAGAACATCTTCTCCCCACTCTTCACAAAAAGCTTCTGCTAAACAGGTCAAGTCTAAATAGCCCTGCAGCCTTCCCCACCTGCATGTGTTGCCACGGGGCACAGCTGCAGCCACAGTAGAGTCCCAGGAGAACACAGTGGGAGCATGGGTGGACACCACCACCCCTGTCAGTGTTGGGGACATGGCAGGTACTAGTGCCAGCAGAGTACCAGCTCTCCACTGGCCAGAAATTGCCTTCTTCTAGCCTTTTGGATGGCAGGAAAGCCTGCCTGCATCCTAGTGAGCAAACATCCTACTGAGACAACAAGGCACGAGCACTTCATTCCCTCTTATGGTCTCTGATCTCTGTACAAGATGGACTGCAGCTTACTGTCTCCCATGCTGTGCTGATGCAGCAGGGGTTTGGGGCATGGTCCCTGCAGACCAGGGAGGGGTTTCTGCCCAAAAGGCTGTACTCTAAAGCAGGCACTGAGATGTGTAGGTAATAAGCATTTTTGCAACTAGCATTCATTTGACTGAAGATGCTGCCCACGGTGTTTAGGAGGAAGATTTTGGGTTCATATGGCCAGGATTGAGAAGCAGGTTTTGTAATCCTGGCAGTCACTGGCTGCATGCTCAGGTGACTGAGCTGGGGCAGTGGTCTGTGGTTAGAGAGGGCGTTAATTACTTCCACCATAATGATGAAGAAGCTGGTAGAAGATTAGGGCCAATACTTATCCTTGAGTTGGCACCAACCAACCTCCCATCTGTACCCCTGGCACACTACACATGCATGAGGGCTCTGACACCCCATAAACTGCATCCCCCCATGGCCTCTTCTGGGTTAAGAGATACTGGAGGAATACTAACCAGCATTAGTACACATGTAAAGTATCCATGAGTCTCTTGGAAACGGTCAGGGTGCTAAAATACTGAAATATGCAAGTATCACTAGCATGCCTCCCATATAGACAAGACGAGACTAAGGATATAGGCATTCCCATCCTCAGCCTCCCTAGCTACTCTGACAATGTGAAGTCAAAGCCCTCATAACAAGCAGCCATGAATATGAATATGAAGCACCCCTCATCCTCACCTATAAGAGCTCTGCCTCCAGATTTGCACTGGCTCCTGCTTCTAGATTAGCCGGTGTGGATGAGGAGCATACTCAAGGAGGAGTCCCTGGGCTGCTGCTGTCTTCCAAGGAGCAAAAGATGTGGCCTGATGGTCAGGGCTATCCTTCAGGTGGGAGCCCAGGGACTCCTTCCCCTTAGTGGTGGTGATGTCTTCTGGTCACAAGCCTGGACATCCCAAAGGCTGTGATAAGCAAGGTGTCCACTTAAAGGGACAGTCATGGCCCCATCGTGGCTTTCTGGGAGAATGCACCTGGGGAGCAACCATAACTACCTGAGAGGAACCTCTGCTTGCCCTGTCAGCTCTTCTCTGCTGCTGGGGCTTTGTCCCACGCATGTAGATGTGATTATGTGGTAGCTCAGCAGAGGGGAAGAGACAGTAAGTTAAGTGTCACAGTAGTGTCCTTTATGTGGAAAAACCTTCAAGAACAAGAAATTATCAGGCAATGATCAGACAGCTGGGCAGCTGTTTTCTTAATCAGGTAGTAGTTCTGTCTGGAGGCTTCATTGCAGATCAGCTCCCACAAGCTCCTTAATGAGAGTCTGCAGTGGCTCTGTGAGCACCTGGTTCCACAGCTGTTTCTGAGCATTGGTGACAAGGAAACAGTTAAAAGTATATGAAATGCAACAGGGGGGTAAAAAGGTGAGAAAATTAGAGAAAAAGAGAAAGCTGTACCTCTCCATAGACTTGCCATGCTGAATTGTCCACCTGCTCTTTGCTTTTCATGACTAGGGTTCTGTATATCTACATAGATTAATGAATGCTTGTAAATAAGGAATTTGAGTATTGAAATTATTCATGGCAGAAGACAGCCATATTTTTGCTGTAAAAGAAAGTTTCTTTTTTCACTACATGATAAAAATAGTGCTAACTCATTTCTTATTTGCTTAGTTCTGAAAGTAAACTACAATGCAGGTTTCATGTCTGGGAAATATAACGCAAGTTTAGCAGACTTTCTTCAGGTTTTTTGATGCAGTTTCCTAATCATGCAAATTTTACACAACAATCTGTATCTTTTTCATTTAAAAAACTGCCTTTTGAAGAAAAAAAGTATTTCTAAAAAGGCTTTCACATTATCTTTATGTCATTAGCAAAAGGACAGGAGACAACAGTATTATGTGTTTTTCTTTAATTTATAGGTACTAATGGTAATGACTTAAAGGCCTGTATGTTATTAAACTAATGGCATGCAGGGTGATAACAAAAATAGTCAGAATTCATCTTAGCTTTGAGCTTCACCTACACTATTTCAAGTGAGCCATCAACATCAGGCATAAACCTTTGCTGTGTAATGACATACTTTAACAATTTGAACTCTAATGTCTTAATGACATAAAATTAAAGTTCTGGCCAAAGGCTAAAAAGACCAAATGAGAAGTTTCCAAAATAAATTGAGAGTGCAAGGCAATTACTTTTTAATATGGTCTGCATTATGAGTGATAAATACAAGAGCATTCAGAAGAAACTATACTGTTAAGTAATATCAGTCAGAGCAGGTGCGTGATCCACTTTGTGGACAGCTGTGGCTTTTCTGATTGGATAGAACAGCTTCAAAAAGGTGTTTAACATTTGATTCATCTTTGGGGCTCATATGGTCACAGATAAGCAATTTGCACTAAAGATCTTCCAGAGTTACAAGCCTAATGCTGAAAGAGATAAAAGGAGCCGGGAGCTAGATAAGTTTGAAGGATTCATCTACATTGCAGTGATTACAACTCATACAGACTCAAACCACACCACATCGCTTTCAGCAGCCAGGTTGCAGGAAGGTTGTCACAGAGCTCAGTGCACGATGCCCAACCAAGGACTTACTGGTTGGTTGACACTTACACCCTCATTATTTTCCATACTAGTGCTGTCAGATCCTGATCCAGGTTGTTGAAGACTGGCTCTGTACATCTGCATGAGCTGCAGTCATTGCAGCATACACAGTTAAAGACAGAAGCTAAAGGGAAGTTTTTTCTTGGTGACCAAGCAGTTTCCTGTAAAAGAAAAAAATAGTCTTGCACAGAGATTTGTACACCTTTGGC